CTCCTTTCTCCCCGCCCTGCTCTGTTTCGTACAGCCACGCCTCACAGACACCCAAGCCGGTGCCCTTTTTACCAGTAGAGGGCGCCAGGGGAGCGAGAGACCTGCCTGTGTGTTCTCTGACTGCTGGGTACCTTTATTCCCCTCCTCTGGGAAGGCCCCTCTTGCTGTCTGCCTGGGGATGTAGCCAGTGCCGGTCCCTCAGGAGGGTGGGCGGAGGTGGTCAGCAGCGGCAGCGAGGCGGATTCTGTCCTCTGAATTGTCGCTCTTGCCTCCCTGCCTCTTCCTTCCCAGGCTCTTCCTTCGGGGACTTAGGATCAGCCAAGCTGGGGCAGAGGCCACTGAGCCAGCCAGCTGGGATCTCCACCAACCCCTTCATGGTGAGTGTCCCAGTATCAGGAGCGTGGTGTTGTGGGGCATTGGCTTTTACTCTGGTGGCAGGGACAGAATCCTTCCAGAAGGGGGCAATGTGAGGTTCTGCGTTGTCAGAGCCAACACCAGTGGGTTGGTCCCTGCCGGTTCTTTCAAGCCCTGTCATCTCCTGCCCCTCCCAGTGCTTCTCCTTCATTTTCCCCAGTTCTCCCAGCACCACAATTTTGAGGGAGAAAGGAATCCTGAACTGTGTTTCTTCTCTGGCCTCCAGCTCTTCACCCCTAATTTAATAATTTGTTGTGTTTCTTTCCAGACTGGATCCTCATCAAGCCCATTTGCCTCCAAACCTCCAACCACCAACCCATTCTTGTAGCACTGTGTCCTCGGGGGCCTCTTCCCTGAATTCTGGGACCCCTCTGCTCCCTGGAGCTCTGGTGACCACTTGCCTGTGGGCATTTCTGTGGGCCTGAAACCAGCAGGGGCCCTGTGCTGCAGGGTCAGGGGCTTGGGGATGGTGGAGGTGCTGATGCTTTGCTCTGGGCTTATGGGCGAAGTGGCAGCTCCAGGGTCAGCTGCCCCAAAGACTCCCTGACTTCCTCCCTCCTCCTCCTGCCCCCACCGGGAGGGAGGCCCAGCAGGAACGAAGGCAGAGCCTGGTGGAGGAGCCATGTTATTTTTTCAGACTCTTAATTATGATGACAGCCTTTTCCCCTCACCCCTAGCCCTGTCTGTGGGCGGAGGAAACTGTGGGCACAGACTGACCGGCCATCCCCCATGGGAACAATTCTTCCCCCATGCTTGGCTCCCCACTGCAGTGCTCCACGTGGACAGAGTGCAGTGGGGAAAGTAGGGTAAAGATGAGGCATGGTGTTGACAGAGACAGTGACAAGACAGCTCTGGGATCAAGAAAACCTGGGCGCCCTGAGTGCCCTTAGTGGCCCGGCTTGGCCAGCACACACTTTCCTACACCACCTGCCATTGTTTTGCTTCCCCAGCGACCCTCCCCATCCTGGGCACTCAGGATGAATAGTTTTACCTGCATACACACAGGCCCAGCTCCTGTCAAGCACTTTAGTTAGCTGTTGGTGTCATGTTTGGATACCAGTGTTTTATATTTATACATAGAGAGAATTTTCTAATATAGCCTATTATATATATACGCACATATATACATATATATACACACACATCCAGCCTATCTCCTCCCAAACGTCTCCCATCTGTGCCTCAACCATCAAAGCCAGAGCTCCAGGGGTAGGGAGAGGGCAGCCACGTGTCCTGACCACCCCAGAACCTAGGCTTTTCCAGGGAAAGGCTTTGTGCAATTGACTGGGTTTTTTGTGTTTTTTTTTTTCTTTTTTTCCCATGTGCCTTCCCTGCCCCCAAATCTCTGCACCAAAGCTCATTGCAGGCAATGTTGGAAAAGAACTGCATTTGAAAGAAAAGGAAAATGGCTGTCATGCTCTTGCTTTAGGCCAGCTTGAGGGGCCACAGGTCAGTCAACATGACTGATCCTTGACCTGGCTCTGCTGGTCTGGACTGCCTGCGTCAGTGATGATGCTGTGGTTGGCCAAGGACAGGACAGAGACTCCCTGTCTGAACTGTCCTATCTTAGCAATGGGAAGGAGCATGGTGGGAGGGGGCTACCCCTGTGAGGGGTTGCAGTTCAGTAGATGTAGTGAGGGGGCAGTTCCCACTGGGGATGGGGGTGGGCAAAGGAGGTTGGTGCCAACATGGAGATGGGAATAGACCATTCTTAGATCTGGCACATTCTCAGCCCCTCCCCAGTCTGTTTCTACCTGGGGATGTTGTATCAACAGCCATGGACTGTTTGTGTGGTGACAAGACAGACTGGAGGGGTAAACACTTCACCTGGCTCAAGAGAAGCAGAGGACTCAGGCTCTTGCTGTTTGGCCCAAGGCCAAGAGAGGCCCTTCCCCTTCCACCATTGTCCTAGGACAATGTCCCTTCCACCATTGTCCAGGGACTCCTGGGCCTTAGCTGTTCATTCTTGGGATTTCTTTGGGTCTTCCACAGAGAACAGCAGAGATGTGGGAATTGGGTTATCAGTTTATTTACTTTGCAGACTTTTCTGGAAATACCCCAAGCTGCTGCTATTTGCCTTACCAGGTTTGACCTCTCCACCTTTCCAGGGATCAGTACCCACTGTGTCTGTGTCTGTGTCCCTGTCCTCCCAGCCTTTAGCCTCCTTCCATCTCCTGGTGGGGCCTCCCAGGGGGCACCATCCTTTGTTCCCTGGGTTTTTCACATTCTTTCTGTTCCTTCTCCCAATATTTTTATCTGCTACCTTTGATTAAGTAGGAGTGTCTTCTCTACTTCTGTCACCCATTCTTTCCTTTCTGCTTAGAGCCAGGGAGGGGGGAAGCTGAAATCTGTTATGGTGTAGTAGTGTCTTTCCCCACCTTCCTCACTCTTGCCAACTCTGGGAACACTAGGTAGGAAATGAAAGGACAGAGAGCTGAAGGGCTTCTCACTGTGTTTCTGCCACACCTGTGCTGTCTCCCAGAGATTTCCTCACGGCCTAGTTCCTGGCCCATGTCCTCCCTGCAGACCTCCCTCCCCTCCCAGTCACCCTGTCCGACATGGACTGTAGCCAGCACACCCGCCAGGGCTGGATGACCAGTAGGAGAAGTTATACCAGGTCAGCCTCAGACCCCAGGGCAGAAAAACACAGGAGTTCCCTGAGCACAGGCTGAGCGAGGACTGCAGCTGCCTTCCTTGGCTCTGAAGAGCTCCAGTGCCTTGGGTTCCCATCCTCCATTGAGTCGCCTCTCCTGGCAAGTGGCAAAGAACAGAAAAATCCCTGGCCTGATAGGAAATGTCTAAATGACAAGGCTGTGTTCCTCCCTGCACAGCCATGCCTGGTGACTGCAAATGTGAACCCACTGCACACATTAGGCTGGAGTGACTCACCCAGGCTCACACCCTCAACATGTGCCCCTGGCCAATGCTGTGACCATTGCTCCAGACAGCAATCCCCTGGTTTGGCCCCAGCCTTCAGCAGGTCACCTGTGGGCTGCCCCTATGAGTAAGGAAGCAGGAGCTAGCCACTGGATCCTCTCCACATTGGAGTCTGCCAAGTCACACCTGGGAGCCATGGGATGGGAGAGGCTAAATGTATGACTGTCCTCTTATCCCCCTCCACAGAGGAGTAAGGACTCAGGATGGGGAAGGAGAGGCACATGGAATGGCCCAGTGTCCTCCCTGTAGGTTCCTCCCCCTGGTAACATTCTTCCATTGGAACCTAGAACATGGTGCCCTGCCCCTGTCATGGGAACACAAAAGTAGACATGGCCCTCCTCCCCCCAGGTTGGGAGAAGCACTCTCGTCCAGCACAGCCGAGGTTCTGCCTCTTGTCCCTGGGGAGCAACTCAACCGTTACCTGGGCTACAGGCTGAAATAAATCTTTTCTGGGTACGGTCAAGGTCAGTGTTGCCAGGGCAACTGACACGGGCCAGTTGTTTGTAGGCTCTTTCTGGTACCCAGCAGGCCAAATTACCTGGCATTGATCACCACCTCACTCCCACCCCCGCACCCTCCCCACCCCCTGTCCCGGGCTTGCCCAGATCCTTGCTGCTTCCTGCTTTAGCGTTACCTAGCACTCAGGGCTCAATGACACAAAGTGGATTGGAGCTGGTCTCTGACAGCAGCTGTGATTTCACAAGCACTGGGATGCTTCAAGAGTCCTGGTTGATGGGGAGCAGTAAGGAGAAGGTATGCAGAAGAAAAGAGACCCTGCTTGGGTAGCTTCAAATCAAGCCTAGGGGAGTAAGATTCCTAGACCAGGACCACAGCAGGACACCTGCAGTGTCCTGCTCCTTGAGGTGGCAGCAAGACATCTTTTATGTCCCTGCTACTTCACACATTATGCCTGTATCAAGGCCTTTGCCCACACAGGGGACTATGGCCTTGAACACAGACCTGTTTGGTGGCCATTTACAGATCCATCGTATACCTGCCTCCCTGGCCAACACCCACCACAGGGCAGCTGCTATGGCTGCCCCCACCCCTGCCACCACCACCTGAGCCATGCGCCTCTCTGAAGCTGTGGTGGAGCTTCAGCTGATGGGAGGCACCTGGAGCAGGCCCTGAGGCCAGTCTGACCCCCAGCTAGGTGCCCATCCCTATGATACTCATTGCTTCCCTGCATCTCACTCTCACCATGACCTTGGAAGAGGTGTGTGAGGACCCAAGCTCCTTACAGCACACTGGCTTCCTGGTATGCTAGCTCACAAACAGGCCCCTTCCTCAGGAGATGGTGAAGTGTGGGTGGAAAGCTCTGTCCTCCCCTGCTCAGGCCCTGGGCCGTGGACTAGTCTGAGAGAAAGAAGTGGGTTCCCTTGCTTCCATTCTGTTGTTCTATCTTGTCCCTTACCCAAAGGAGCCTCTCCCTGAATACCATTTTGAACAAGGGCCACATGGTGCCTCTTCTCTCCTGGATCCTTAGTGTCCCCCTTTAGGAATCCTACTTGCCTGAAGAATGCTACCATCAGGTCTTCGAAGGCCTCACCATGTGTCAAATGCTGGTTTGTCTCGCAGAGTGTGCGCCATAACCCACCCCAAGTGAGTTGGTGGTCCTTGGATCAGAACTGAGGTGCAAAAACGTCCAATTCCCAATCCCATCTCAAACCTCTCAGGACACAAGGAGCCAAGGGGTACCGTGACCTGGAAGTCTGCATATCTGTGATCAGAGCCTTTTGGCTGGTGGTGGGGTTGCATCTTGGGGCAGTGGTGGTGAGGAGAGGCTGGGGGCAATGGGGTAGCATGAGGAGATTGCCCCTGAGAAGTGGCCTGTTCCTCCGCAGAATCTCTGGCAGGTATGGCCTATGCATAGGAACCAATCCTAAATTTATCCAAAGACACCTCTATCACCCGAAAGTAAGAAATGGAAGCTCCTGCTCAGAAATCAATCCTGTGCAATCCTCAGCAGCCATGGCTCCTACGATTAGCACAAAACCAGTCCCGGGCACGAAGGGGGCAGATGGTGGACGCCTACAGGCCAAGTGACAGGTGGCGGGAGCCAGGGAGGGTTGCTGCTGCAAGGGAGGCCCTGCTTGGCCACCCTCTAATCGCCAGCGCCATCACCACGGACACAATTCAGTCACACTCGCCTCACATCGAGGCTTTCTCAGTTGCCCCGACCTGCCCCTGTGGTGGCCCCCAGCCAGCACAGGAACACTCAGGTGATTGGCAGAGACGCCCCCACACTCCCTGCCCCTACAAAGTACTCCGCGCCAAGAGTGGAGGCCGCCTCTCCAAGACTTCCCAACTCCAGCGCGGGCGCCGGGCCCAACGAGGGTTAACTTCAGGGGGTGGGGATTCCAGGAGCGGCCAGCGGGAGGGAGGCAGGGAGGGGAGCCAGCAGGGTCTGAACCTCTGAGGCCGTAGGAGTCCGGGTGTCGCGGGCCACCGGGCAGCCACTGGGGCACACGCTGTGCGCAGACCCCTCAAACTTCAAGTTGGGAGCTGGGGAAAGACGCCGAGCATCAAGACGGGCCGCACGCTGCCAGGTCGCTGCTCCACTACCTCGGATCCGCCACCTCTGCTGGTCACTCCCCGCGGTTCAGACCGCTGTATTGCCTTCGGCTCCGGATGAAGCCCGCAGGCGGCAGCCCCACGGAAAGCCCAGGGTCCAAGTGCGCCGACGTGTCCCTCGGCTCTCCGCTGCCCTGGGCCTACCCGGCCGACGTGCGACTCTGCGGCCACCTGCGAAAGCAGAAGTCCCAGCGCCGCCGCTTCTTCGCCCTGCGCACCGACCCCCCGCGCCTCGAGTGTTATGAGAGCGAGAAGCAGTTCCGCGGTGGCCAAGCGCGGCCCCAGCGCAGCGTGAGCCTGGTGGGCGCGTGCACCATCAGCAAGCGCGCGGACGCGCGCCAGCGCCACCTGATCGTCCTGTACACGCGCGACAGCAGCCTGGGCGTGGCGGCGGCCAGCGAAGCGGAGCAGCAGGCGTGGTACTGCGCCCTGCTCGAGGTGCGCGCCGCGGCTGGTGAGGCCCGAGCCCTGGGCTGCAAGGGGCTGGGGGGATCGTGGGGGGTTTATCTGTAGCCCAGGTCACGAAAATTCAAACATTAAGTGTTTACCTGTCTTCAGCTCTCTGGGCAGTGATTGTAACCTCCCGGGCCAGGAGCGCTTTGTGACCAGCCCATTGTCTCCCTAGGACCCAGCTCCTACGAGGACCCTGGGACCTGGATCCTCTCTCCGTTCCAGGACGTCTGGCCCGTGACGCTGCGGCCCAAAGGGCTGGGGCGGACCCGAGGCCTGGGCAGCGGCGGCTACCGCTTGTGCCTGGGTTCGGGGGCTCTGAGTCTGCTGCGGAAGCCCAGGGGCAGGGGCTTCCGGGATAACCGGGCATTGCCGCCGCCCGCCCTGCGCCTGCCCCTGCTCAGCGTGCGCCGCTGCGGCCACGCAGACTCTTTCTTCTTCCTGGAGCTCGGCCGCTCGGCACCCACGGGTCCCGGGGAGCTGTGGTTGCAGGCGCCCGACGCTGTGGTGGCCCAAAACATTCACGAGACCGTCCTGGCCGCCATGAAGCGACTCGGGAGCGGTGGGGTCGGTGCCAGGGCCGAACCACTGCCCAGGGATTGTCCAACGAGCGCCTCCAGACTCTCAGTCCCCCAACCTTATGAGACCTCGGTCTCCGCGGCCCAATCAAGCAGCCTGAGCCGTCGGGGGTGCCTGGGTGAGAGGATCAAGCAAGCAACCCTTGGGACCCCCGCGAGGCTAGGGGCGGCAGCCTTGCACTCTAAGGCGCTGGATCAGGGGGGGAGCTACATAAACATGGGAGCCGGGAGTGACTACGAGCCCATGGGGGGCGGCGCAGCGGGCGGCTACACGGTGATGGCGTCCCCAGGCCTTTGTCCGGCCACTCCTGCTCCTGGCCAACCTCTCCAGGACTGGGGGGACACCGAATACGTGCCCATGAACCGCTTTCCGCCAGGGTCCTTTTCCTTGAGCTCGCTGCACCACTCCTACAAGTCCGGAGCTGGGAAGCCTGGACCCGGGCTCCGGAGCGCCCATCGCAGCGCTGGGGGCAGCTGGGGACTGCCAAGGGCTCAGCCCTGTTCCCTGTCGCCGTCCGAGCTGGCCGGGAAGCACGTGTACACCGAGTACGCGGCCCCAAACTGCGTAGGAATAGCTTCTGCCGGGCCAGAGCCCCCAGACGGCCATCTCAACTACGTCGACTTGGACCTGGTCCCTCCTCTGGAGGCGCGCGGCGACGTCCCCGGGGTCCGCAAGCTCCTCCCGCACAGCTACGCGCGCATCGAGTTCTAGAACCTCCAGGAGGCGCAGGTGAGGAAACCCGGTCAGCCGCGGATGCACGAGGGACGGGGGAGGGAAAGCAGGGCAAAGGTGGGAATGCCGCCCCCCACCCCCACGGCGGAGGGCTCCAAGACCCAGTTGCCCTATCGAACGTGTGACCTGCAAAGGCGATGAGCTCCCCCTTCAGGCCGCTGCTCGCTTTGTCCCTTGAGCTGTGGCGCCTAAAACAACTTCCATAGGTTTATCAAGAAGTTGAATATGCCAGGCGCGGTGGCCTACGCCTGTAATCCTAGTACTCTGGGAGGCCGAGGCGGGCGGATTGCTCGAGGTCAGGAGTTCGAAACCAGCCTGAGCTAGAGCGAGACTCCTTCTCTACTATAAACAGAAAAAAAATTAATTGGCCAACTAATATATATAGAAAAAATTAGCCGGGCATGGTGGCACATGCCTGTAGTCCCAGCTACTTGGGAGGCTGAGGCAGGAGGATCGCTTGAGCCCAGGAGTTTGGGGTTGCTGTGAGCTAGGCTGATGCCATGGCACTGACTCTAGCCTGGGCAACAAAGCAAGACTCTGTCTCAAAAAAAAAAAAAAGAAAGAAAGAAGTTGAATATGTTTAGGGCAAACAATTCTAGAACCTCCACCCATCCCCCACCAAAACAAACCCCCAAAACTATAAATTTCTGGGTTTTCTCAGCTGAAGGTCTGATCTCTGTTTCCCTGCAGAGTTCCTGTGTACATCCGGCAGGATTTGGCAGTGCCACCTTGCCACCAAGGACATTTGTGTAGACCTGCCCCTACCACACACACCTGCAGTGCCTTCCTTGTGTCTCCTCTGAACCAAGGAACTACCCCCGCCCAGCCCCAGAGCTGAACTCCTGGGGCCCCAGCACCAAGGACTTGTACCTCCCAAAAGTGATCTGTCTCCTCACCCCGTTTGCCTCTCTTAGAATAAGCCACGTATTCACACAATCCTCCCTTCTCCCAGCCTGGCAGAGTTGATGGCTCCTTGCTTCCTATATGTTCAACTGTACTGTGGACCACCCACCCACTCATTAAAGGTGCTCTGCTTAGTCAGGCTGGAAATGCTTCAGATGGTGGATTCCCCCACTGTACAGTAGGGGAGTGGCCAGTGAGGGACACAAATTTGGGGGAGGGCAGCCAATGCAGTGGGAGAGGAAGAGACCCCATCCCTGCCTCCATGCCCAACTCTGCCATCAGCCACAGAAGTCTTTTTTGCAAACCAACACTGTTTTATTGTCAACAGAACCTGCCTGGAGCAGCGGGGGCCCACTTTGCCCCCAGAAGAGTTAGGGACAATGTGTGTCTGGGGTCTGTGGGAGAGAGGGGTCAGTGCAGTGAGAAGAGCTAGGGCCACCACTGGGGCCTGGCTCATCAGACAGGGGTTCTGGGGGCCCAGCTGGGGCTGTGGGAGCCACTGAGGAGCTGGGTCTCGGCTCCCCCTGGCTCATCTGCAGGAGGCCAGTGAGGGCGATCAGCTCGGGCCCGCTGAGCCAGGCAGTGGAGCAGCGTGGAGAGGGGCTGGGGAGGACCCAGGGGGACATGACCGGGGGTGGGAGCAGCAGCTTCAGGGAGCCCATCACCTGAGGAGAGAGGAGGGAAGCTTTCCTGCCAGGCCCCCAGGGAGGAGGCTGGAATGAGGCGAGCTCAAGAGCTCTCACCTGTTGCGGGGCCTCGGACAGGTACAAGGGAACACGCTGCCCACAGGGCAACAAAGGGTCCGACAAAAAGACATCTTCTCGGCACATCACTGGGAGCCCTGAGGAGGAAAAACCTCTAGGGCACAGGCTGGGGCTCCCACCCCAGCCCTATTTTAGCTGGCTTTGTGCACTGTGGCTCCCAGCCTGGGGGCACCAGGGTTAGTACCTGCATCCTGTGGCACTCGCTCTCCATTCTGATGCCCTGTTGCAGGGGTCCTGGGGGTCCTGGGCCTGACACCCCCGCCCGAGGCTGCCTCATACAGCGGCCAGAAGGAGGGATGACACAGCGTCCGGCCTGAGAAGGAGGCACCTGACCCACAGCTGGCCCCCTGAGGAGGGGCAGGACAGGGTACTGGGGCCTCAGCTCTTCCCAATGCATCCCTGCCCACCCGAGCCAGAGCCACAGGCTCCCTCAACTCACCCACACCAGCCGAGCTCCTGTTTTAGCCTGGTAGTTGGGGTCCCAGGGCGCCAGCAGAGTCATCCTTGAGGGGGCCACCTCCCAGATCATCTGGGAGGAGAGGGGAACTGGGGAGACACTTTAAGAGTTAAAAACAGGCTCAGAGACAGTGAGAGGATCTTGGGAGTGGTTAGAGGCAGCAGGCCCCTTCCTACCTGGGGATTCTGGAGACTGCTCAGGGGTGAGGTCCTGGCGGTGGCAGGGCAGGAGCTGTTCTGTCCGGGTCCAGGACCCACTGAGGGCCCGGGTCTGCGGGCTGGAGGGGGAAGCACTGACATGCTCCAGTCAGGTGTCCAGGTGTCCCCACTGCCAGTCCAAATATTTTCTGGAGCCCAGGGGCAGGCCCAGAGTGCATGGTTTGGGGACACTGCCGCACCCATACTCCGGTAGGACAATAGTGTCTGCTCCATCTCCTGTAAGGCCCCTGGCCAAGGCATGGAGGCCCCCCGAATCAGATGTCCCCCAGCAGTTCCAGCGAGCCCCTCACCTGTCCTGTGGGGGTGTTCCTGGCTCCCCTGGGGTTTCCTCTCCAAAGCTCCAGGCCGCACCCTGGTCATTGCCCTCAGAGAGGCCTGACACCTCAGACGCCTCCTCCTCGCCTGCGCCCCACCGCGGAGGCGGCCAGGGCAACATGCTGCGTCAGGAGTGCAGGACAGTGCCGCAGTGCTCTCCCAGCCCGCTCTGCGACCCTCAGCGACGCAGCCCTACCACTGGCGCGAGCACACCTCCAAGGGCCTCGCCGCGACGCCGGTGCCCAGCGCGTCTCCCTGGCCACGTGGCGCGCGCCCCCGCTGGGCTCCCGCGGGCGCCCCCTGGCGGCGGGGCGGAGAGTTCCACCCGCAGGATCATCCTCAGCCTGGCGGCTCGCGCAGGGCGCTGTGGGACCAAGTGACCCACGTCCGCGTGACGCCCACGCCCGCTAACAGACACACTCACACCTGAGGGCCACTTAGAGAGCTTCTGGCTTCTCTTTATTGCGCTTGACACGACATCCGATGGGCCTTCCACCCAGAACCTCGGCCACCCCAGGATGGCCAGCTAGGCAGGCCCTGGAACCCAGGCTCAGGGCCAGGCCTGACGCCGCCCTCACCAAGTCCTTGTCAGAGGACAGAGCCCAGGCGCGTCTTCTGTTCCTGGGGTCCGGCGATCGGACCCTGCGCGCCTAACGCCACCCCTAAGGCCGTTCCAGCAGTGCATGGACGATAGCAGCGATGTGAGGGAGACCCCTTCCTGGGGCCCCCTCCTCTTCCAGGATGTGGTGGGGCTGGCACAGGGACTCCTGGGGGAAGGGGCCCGGGTTAATTTCCCCCTTGTCACCCACTCTGCTCAGCTTCCCTGCCCTGGGCAAGGTGTAGGAGACGAAGGTCAGGGGCATCCTGGGCAGATACTGTGCACCCAGGACTTGGGGACAATGAGATGCAAGGAAGCTGCCAGCAGATAACAGAAGGGAGATGACACAGGGGTCCAGGCTCAGGGGGCAGGAGAGGCCTGTCATCCCCAGAGGAAAATGCTGGAGCAGGCAGGCTGGCACACAGAGGTCTGCCAGGGCCACTGCTGGGGCCAGAGATGGGAGCAGACACAAACACGCACACAGGCAGCCACAGTCTATACAGTTTATACACAGAGACAGGGACCCAGCCTGGGCCCTGCATCACTACAAATATAGAGTTCTCTCTACAAAATAGAGATAATTTAGCCCCCCCAGGATAGCCAGGGGGTGGGGCAGGGAGAGGGGACACAGAGGAAGGGAGAGAGTCAAGGCTCCTGGCACCCCTCTGGGGGAACAAGGGCAGGGGCGGGAGCATGAAGGACCCATCAGCACTGTGAGGCTGGGGACCACTGGGGGCTAGAGGAGGGAGGCCAGAGGCTGGGGGCCCAGGGTCTGGGGGCACCAGAGTGGGGCCTCTGAGGTCAGTGTCTGTGAAGAGGGCATGCTAGTGTCTTTGGTAGGGGCTGAAGGCACCACCGGTGGGGGTGGGGTTGAGCAGGAGTCATAAATAGAAACAGGGGGAGGAGGAGGGAGATGGTGGAGGAGGGGTGACTTCGGGTCCTAGGAACCCAGGAGCCGAGTGTAGACGACATAGAACAGCAGCATGAGGACCACGTAGAAGAAGATGAAGCCGTGCAGACCAGAGGGGGGCCAGAGGGGCAGGGGGGCCTTGCCCCCCACCCACTTCACAGCCTCCAGTATGGTCCGCAGCCCCTGGGCGGTGCCCTGGAGGAGATCCGAGGGCGAGCACAGGTCAGCCTGGGAAGGGAGAGTAGGGCAGATGGACAAGGACAAAGGACAGACGTCAGCAGCAGCAGCAAGACAATCTTTCCCACCCCCTGCCCTCACGTGCCAAGGCCAGAGCCACACCAACGTGTAGGCATGCAGGGCAGGAGACATGCAGGGCAGGGGACATGCAGGGCGGGGGACATGCAGGGCGGGGGCACGAGGACATGCTTATTTCTGGGAGCAGACCCCCGTGAGGGGAACCCCACCGTCCATGCAAAGTACTCGGCTGAGCCCAGGATGTTGCTACTCTTTAGAGAACAGCCCCCATACCTCAGGCACCCCCATTTTTCGACAGGCTTCTAAGAAACTCTCCACATTCTTCCGAGACTTGAGGGCACTGAGTTTTGGCTGGGAGTGGGTAAGAAAAGAGGGTAAGAGAAAGGCCATAGGCAAGCCCTGTTCTATCCCCTACTTCTTGCTCTGGCCTCTACTAACCACGGCAGGTGAGGGCACGTGAATGAAGGGCACAGCACGGGGCCGCAGCTGGTTGGCCAGCTGACAAAGGATGACCCCATTGGCCAGAGCCTCGGCCAGGTCCTCAGGCAGGGGCCGCTGCAGCCGGGACTCGAGGACCTGGGAGGCAGGCGAGACAAAGGAGCAGGTCAGAGATAGGAGGGAACTCATGCCTGCCCCTTTCTGTCCTCAGGAAACACTAGGAGTACCAGGAAACAAAGAGGACGTTGAGGGAGGCCTGAGTCCTGAGGAAGGAAACACGAGGAGGCGCCAGGTGGGCCCAGGCCCTGCCTGCACAGATCCCATCTCTGCTTACCTGGCGCAGCTGAGCCATTAATTCCTTCTCATCCGGAACCTGGGGGGATCGCCGAGGTCTCAGGACGGAGTCTGGTGAGGAAGGGCCTAGGAGGAGAGGGGAGCACATAGCTGTCTCCACTACTCACCGTGGACTTCATGGGTGGATCCCAGTGGTTTGGCACCCACACCACTGCCTCCCTGCTTGTGGGATTTTCAACACAAAGGACAACAGACTCAGAGAAATCCCAGGCCAAAAGGGTGACACAGCCTAGCAGTTAGTTCTAGTTAGTGTTGGGAAGGTGGGGAGACCTACCTGAGCCACTCTGAGAGGAGGAACGGAAGAGGAAACTGTTTGGTCTCTGAATGGAGCCGAGCGGCCGGGGAGCAGGTGCACCTGTCACTGAGGGCCAGAGCCAGGGACAGGGCATGTGAAAGAGACATCCACTCCTGATCCCACTCTTCCCTCAGGCCACCAGGTCCCAACCAGCCCCTCACCTACACAGCCTCCCATTCTCTTCCTAAAGCCCTATCCCACCTGGTCCAGCTATAGGAAGGGGCTCCTGGGAGGTGGAGGCAGGGGAGGGGGCTCCCTGCCCCCCTGTGGCTCCCACTTGGGTGGCATTGGACTTCGGTGTCCCACTGAGGAAGAGACAGGAGAGAATTAGAGAGGATGGTCAGGAAAGGAGGTACAGGGAGAGGACTCGGGCAAGAAACCTACTTGTAGGTAGCTTGAGTGGATAAGTTGAGAGCGCCTCCCCCAGCAGCCCTGATCCCCAGCTTCAGGAAACTGTAACAGTGAGGAGAGGTACAGTCGGCATGCCCTTCAGTGCCACCTTTGCTCCAACCCTGGAGCAAAGCAACTCAAGAGGGGCTCGTTTCCATCCATTTCCAGGGCCCATCATCCAGCGACAGCCCCAGCTGACCCTGGACCCACACCTGTCCTTCCTGGGGGCGCCCCATGCCCCGCTCTGCTGCTGCTGCTGCTGCTGCCTCCGCTCCCGCTCCTGCCACAGCTGCAAGGTGTCTGGGCGGCGCCGTTCCTCCCCTGCTGGCTCCTCCCGCCTAAGGGGCCAAGACACCAGAGAGATAAGCCCAGAATCAGGGGAAGGAGAAAGGCCCAGGAGGCTGGGAGGACAGGCAGTGGTGTTGGCACAGGGGGTTCTGGGGTACCTGCTGCTTGGTGCCCTCTCCCCATCTCCTGCCACAGGGCTTAGTTCAGGTGGCCTCTGCTCCTGAAGAGAGAACAGCAGAGAGGCTGACGAGGCCTGTGCCCTCACCCCTGCACTGCACCCCTCCTCCCTCCAGCTCCCCCTCTCCTGGCAGAGACTTGGCTGGACTCTCACCTCAGCAGCACCTGGCTCTTCGTCCTCTCCAGGGACGTGACTGTCAATGAAGTCGATCTGCTCAGGGTCTCCATCAGCTGGAGAGGCCAGGGCATGTCAGCGGGCAGGGGGCACTCAGGCCTTCACCCACCACCCCCTCCCTGGCTGACTCCACTACTCACCAGCGCCATCCTCCCTCCTTTCTCTGGGTCCCCGAGGCTCTCGGGCCAGCTCTGAGATCCGGAATGACAGCTCAGAAAACTCATCTGTTGACTGTAAGGGCAGAGATGCCGAGATGGGAGACAGCCTCTCTGCAGGGCTGGGGCTTGCAGGGGTTCAGGGCCTACAGGGTCCTGTGTGGGACTGAGATTGGGGTCTGTTGGTGAGCCAGCCCTTCTCCAGAATACTGGGGAGAAGGAAGGAAGAAGACACAGCTCCAACCACTGTCTGACACTCTGGGACTCAGGGGTACCTTGCAAAGGGTCACCAGCTCAGAGGTTCTCTCCCCAGACTGATACCCCCAATCTCTTAGAAAGGAGGCCCTTACCTCATTTCCAGACCACCTCTTGCTGCCACTGTCAACGCTGTGGAAGCCCGAGTCCAGCCCGCCATCATACCGACGTCCCGGAAATAAATCTTCAGCAGGGCTGGGGCCAGCCAAGGAGGTCTGGTCAGTACTATGCTGGGCAGCAACTCCCTCATCCTCCCTCCAGAACCCAGGGTCCTTGGTGCCAGGAAGGGGAATTAAGTATCTAGGGGCTTCCTTCCATCACACCTAGGACTTACCAGGGACTGAAACTCGGGGGCCGGGAAGGGGCCAGGTCCCCTAGTGCAGACCCACGCTGCCCAGCCTCTGTTGACAAGTACTTGAAGATGTGAAGTTTCCCCTTCAGGCAGATCTGCATGTGAGGAGGCACACATAGGGCAGTGAGGGGAGGGAGGGCGGGCTTCCCAGATCCTGCTTGGCTCCCAAAGGAACCACCCTCACTGCTGCCCAGCCTCATCATGTCCCTTGCTCCACCCAGGCTAGCGCCTCACCTGGGCAGGAGGGCTCTGCAGGGGGTTGCTGTCCAGCAGAATAACCTGCAGGTGCCTGAGGCGGCAGAAGGAGACCGGGATTCGGGAGACACGGTTACAGGAGAAATCCAGGCGGACAAGAGGAAGGTCCCCCAGCTCTGGGGGTAGGTGAGGTTAGAGTCAGGAGCATGCCCAAGGAGGAGCCCGGTGCTCACTCCTCAACCTCTGCTCTGGTCAGCTGCTCACCCCTGGGCCCATCACGGTCTCTCCCTGGGGTGGCTCAGGTCATTACCTAGGATCCACCTTTCTGCTCCTCTCTCTGCTCAGATCCAGTCAACCTTCTGACCTGCACCTCCTGAGAAGGGCCCCTGGACTGCAGCTCCTGCTCAGCCCACATGCGTCCTTCCTCATCTCCTCGCTTTCCCACCCCACACTTCAACCGAAACTTCCTTCTCAAGTGGCAGCACAAGACACAAGCCACACCATGATA